TATTTAAAAAATAATAATAATTTTGCTTAATGTATTGTATAGTTTCGTTGTTAAGAGTTGTTTTACATGTCATTTGTAGTATTATGCAAAAGGCATTAGAACTGATTAAAGAATGCCTTTATTCTTTTGTTTTTTGTTATTGTAGTCATTTGAAACGACAAACAAAACAAAGGACAAAGAAAAATTGTTTTACTTATTATCATCGTCATTATCATCTTTATTATTGTTGCTGCTGCTGTTGTATTAGTCAGCATGTTGAAAGTCACACATATATTTCCATCAATATAATATAGTTTTACATGACCTTTGCAGTATTGTGCAGTTTATGCAAGGCATCAGTATTCAGCAATGAACGTCTTCAATCTTATAATTTCCTATTATTGTTACTTGAAACAAACAAAATGACTAGGATAAAGAAAAATTGTTCTACGTATCGTCATTGCCATTATTATTTTTATAGTTGCTGCTGTTACTATTAGTATGTTGAAAGTCACTCGCACATTAGACTGTCAGCCAATTCAAAGTTATTCTGTTGCCATTCTAAATGTATTTATATAGTGTTTGTCGATATCTTGATTTTAGACATTTTCTCCCACTGTTTGTTCCATAAAAATTTAGTGCAAACAATTGGGGGAATATTAAAGAAGTACTAATTTCTGCAAGGTCATATATATACATATGTGTGTGTGTGTGTGTGTGTTGATCTGGATAATTATGATGAGGATAATTATTAAAATTGTGAAAACTATAATGGTAATAATGATAACAAAACTGATAATGTATACAATGACACACACACAATATATATATATATATATGTGTGTGTGTGTGTGTGTGTGTGTGTGTGTGTGTGTGTGTGTGTGTAAAATAGTGTTAAAACTAACAATCAAAATGTTCTTATCAATAATAATAAAGAAGAAATTCCAAAAATTCCACTATTATATATATATATATCTAAAAGCGGTAAAAATGAATTAATATGTTCTTAATAATAATAAATTAGAGAAAAAAATTATTGATTAAAAAAAGATAATTACACTTGCAACATTTGCTGCCTATATATTTTAAATGACTGAGGACATTTAGGACATATTTTTCGTAATGACTTTTATTGCAGATGTAATGAAAAGCTGTATTGCTTGGAAAATAACATGCAGCACACACATACAATCACATACGTACACACGACTCCATCATAAGCAAGCTCAATTGACTGTCTTTCTACTTATATATGTATATCTTTATTTATCACCAAATGGTAGCAATAGCAATATTAACAAATATGTTAGTACGATGATGATGATGATAATGATTATAATTGTGAAACTGTAATGATAATAATGATTAGGCATTTGAGTTTGCTTATGATAGAATCGTGTGTACGTATGTGATTGTATGTGTGTGCCGTATGTTATTTTCCAAGCAATAGATCTTATCATTCCAACCGCAATGATGTCATTATGAAAAAATCGGCCTTAATGTCCTCAGTCTTTTGAAATATATAGCCAACTTAGGTAATAAATGTACCTAGTTCGTATCTTTTAAATTTGATCAACTCTTTCAATTTTTAGATTTTTATGTGTAATTTGGTATTACCATCATCGTTGTTATTGTACTAAATATTATTTTCACTTTATATTGTAATCATTATTTTCTTTGTTTATTATTTTCCATTATCATTACTGCCATCATTATCATTGTTATTATTACTATTATTGTCATCATTAGTATGACTATCATTAGTATCATTGTCATTACTATTATCATTATTATCATCTTTATCATTATCATTATGTCATTATTATCATTATCATTGTTTTTATCATCGTTATTGTCGTTATTATTATCGTTGTTATTATTACTATTATTATTATCATTATCATTAAAACTTATTATTATTATTATTAATGGCAATTATTGTCATCAACTTCATCATTGGTAATTCTATCATCGGTATCAATATCACTATTAGTATTATTAATTTTAAAGTTATTATGAAGGTTATCATCATTACCTTTGTTATTGTCATTTTCATCATTTGTTTTGTCATTTATCATTGTTTTGTTGATATTATCATTATTATTATCATTATTACAGTTATTACCATTATCATTATTATCATTCTGATTATCAGGATCATAAGATAATGATAACAGTAACAATGGCAGCAATGATAATAATAAGGATGATAATAATAGCAATAGTAACAACAGCAGTTACAATAAGAGTGAATGATAACGATAACGGTAAATAAGGATAATGATGATTTTTTTTAATAATGTAATTAACTAATCATTTCTGGCACCCTAAGATGATCCGAGAAATAAAATTTAATAGATTTCTCAAATAATTTACATGACATTCAGATGGCAACTGAGTGATGAGAAGCCAGGAGGAGGGGGAGTAACTGGATGACTTGGTATATTTAAAAAATAATAATAATTTTGCTTAATGTATTGTATAGTTTCGTTGTTAAGAGTTGTTTTACATGTCATTTGTAGTATTATGCACAAGGCATTAGAACTGATTGAAGAATGCCTTTATTCTTTTGTTTTTGTTATTGTAGTCATTTGAAACGACAAACAAAACAAAGGACAAAGAAAAATTGTTTTACTTATTATCATCGTCATTATCATCTTTATTATTGTTGCTGCTGCTGTTGTATCTGTCAGCATGTTGAAAGTCACACATATATTTTCATCAATATAATATAGTTTTACATGTCCTTTGCAGTATTGTGTAGTTTATGCAAGGCATCAGTATTCAGCAATGAACGTCTTAAATCATATTATTTCCTATTATTATCTGAAACAACAAACAAAATGACTAGGATAAAGAAAAATTGTTCTACGTATCGTCATTGCCATTATTATTTTTATAGTTGCTGCTGTTACTATTAGTATGTTGAAAGTCACTCGCACATTAGACTGTCAGCCAATTCAAAGTAAGCCTCTTGTTTTGGCAAAGTTATTCTATTGCCATTCTAAATGTATATATATAGTGGTTGTCGGTATCTTGATTTTAGACATTTTCTCCCACTGCTTGTTCAAAAAAATCGAGTGCAGAAATTGCAAAAACTTTAAAGAAGTACTAATTTCTGCAAGGTCATATAGATAGATAGATAGATAGATAGATAGATAGATAGATAGATAGATAGATAGATAGATAGATAGATAGATAGATAGATAGATAGATAGACAGACAGATAGATATATTTATATACATGTGTGAGTGTGTGTGTGTTAATCTGGATAATTATTTTATTTTGGTAGTGCTTAGAAAAAAGTGTCTTTGCACTTTGTGGCAACATGTATCAATTGGCATTAACACAAATGACAATAATCATCCTCCCAATATTGCCATTGTCGTTATTATTTTCATCATTATCATTATTATCAGTTAATGTCTATTTATATTGTTAGCATTATCCTTATTGTAAGTTAATGTCTTTATTTATATTGTTATCATTGCCATTACTATCATTATAATCATTATCATTGCTGCCATTATTGTAAGTATCATTATTAGTATTATAACTGTTAATATCATTATGATTTCAGTTATTATTATCATTATAGTTATAACATTCATTATTATCATAAGTATCATCACTGTCGCTAGTAACATCTATGCTAATGCTATTATTGCTATCATGGGGTAAATAGGTAAGTATATACAGAGAGAAAAAAAAACACATACATTTAAGTGGTGTGTGCGTATGTGATTGCATCTGTGTGCGTTTTATGTCTTTCCAAGTAATGCGCGTCTGAAATGTTGTTATTACAACTATGGTAAATATTAGAGCATATATAAATATATATATATATATATATATATATATATATATTATATATATATATATATATATATATATATATATATATATAATATAAATATTTCCTTAATGTCCTCAGTCTCTTGAAATATTAAGCATACCAGTAATTATACATTAATGGTCTCAATCGCCTGATAATTTTTTCTAATAAAATGTTATTACTTTCAGTAACTTTGTAAATTTTGATTATCATTACTGATTTTATTTCTTTATCTTATTATTTTTGTTGGTCATTATTATTGTTGTTATTATTATCCTTATTTTTGTTGGTCATTATTATTGTTATTATTATCCTTATTATCACAATTATTCTTTTTCATAGTATGTTCATTATTCTTACTATTATCATCATTGTTGTTATGTTATCTTTATATTTGACGTTTTTACTATTATCATTGTTCTATTTTCATCACTATCAGCATCACTTTTATTGTTATTAAGCATATTGCTACTGTTTCTATCACTCTCAGGTAATATTATCTTTATTATTGCCATTTTTATTATCTTTGTTACCTATGTTTTTACTTTCATTACTGATACATGTTTAGGCCGATTTAAAGAAATTCTTGGTTTTTCATCAAAACTTTTTTCAAAATTCGAATGCAGCAGCGATTTTTGTTGTTGTTGTTGTTATTGTTTTGAGGCCAAATAAAATTACTTTTAATAGGCGATGCTAATATAATGGACAACTCTGCATGTATGCAAAATAATGGATAATTTATAATGCAAATAAAGGTAATAATTGGCGGACACTGCATTATCATTTTTTTTTTTTTGGGGGGGGGGGGAGGGGGGCTAGTTTCACAGCTCGAGGTCAGATTCCATCAGTATTGACTACTCAGGGAAAAGTACCTATTTTCCATTTTAGTAACTAACAAAGATATAAAGGTAAATTGAAATACGTGTTGCAGTTCGGATAGATATACTTTTAATGCTCTTAATGTTTTAATGTTTTTAATAGACTCAGTTATCACTGTTATCATCATTATTATTATCATTACTATAATTATCCAAATCGTAAAGATAATGACAATAGTATCTAAGATATTTTTATAACAATAGCAATAAGAGAAATAATGATAACGACTATAAATATAACAATTATAACAAAAATTTGCATCAAACCATAATGTGGTCTATCAGAAATGTTGGCTTGGAATATATTTTAGACAACTGAGGACTTTAAGTCTGATGCATGATCCCATATGCCGATCTGAGAAATGAAATTGAATAAATTAATTTTTCATATAGTTTATATGACATCTAAGTGTTAAGTGAGTATTGGGGAGAAGCTACGAAGGTCAACGGAAAGAGGAATTAGAGAACTTCGTAAAAAAAAAAAAAAAAAAAATCCCTTTTGCCTAATGTATTTTACATCGTTGTTAAGAGTAGCTTAACATGTCAATTGTAGTATTATGTACTTTACACAAGACATTAAAATTAGAGGACGTCTTTAATACTATGATTTTTATTATAGTCACTTACAACGACAAAATGAAGTTAGGATAAAGAAATATTGTTCTATCATCATTGCTATTATTTTTATTATCGTTGCTGCTGCCGTTCCTGTCGACATGTTAAAAGTCACACATTTTCAACAATATAGAAATCTGCTTCTATTGCGCTCTCGCCATTGTCTGTTATGGACTGGCTGTTGCTATCTTGACTTTAGGCATTTTGTCCGTCTGACAGCGAAAAGATTTTTAGATTGGACTCTGTAAACTATTGGGGAAAAAGGAAAAAAAAGATGAAATATTTTTTTGGAAGATAATATGGTTTTTAAAATCAGGATGATTATTTTTCTGTTTTAGTGTAGTACATTGTGTGCCAATCAGTATATATCAATTGGCATTATATTTAAAAGCTAATAATCACCATCTCAGTAGTTATTTTCGTTATTATTAGTATCATTATCATCATTATTACCTTTTGCCATTATCATTATTACCTTTTGCCATTATTATTATTACCTTTGTTATAATTGTCATTGTCAAAATCATTATTATTTTTGTTATCTTGATAATCACTGTAGTTACCGTAACCATCATTATCATTACTGTTAATATTATTATTGGTATCCTCAGGTATATGTATAAGTGAGAGAGAGAGAGAGAATCATTTAAATTTGCTTTTAATAGAGTGATGTATGCATATGTGTGTGTGCAATGCCATTTTCCAAGCAATGCAGCTAACTTGAATCTTGCCCTTACTACTGCAATGAATTTGATTAGAGAAAAAATCGCCCTTGATGTCCTCAGTCGCTTAAAATAAGTTTCATGCCAGTGCTCTATATCTATAAACTCTTCACGTCAATAATTTTTAGTTGTATTGCTAATATTCTTATTAAATTTCACTATTGTGAGTATTGGCCATATCAATATTATAAGTATTATCATTTTTATTATTGCTGACTTTTTTAATATCCTTATTTTCGCGTATTACCATTACTGCCATCATTATTATCATATTTATTGTTATTATTTTCATTATGGTTATCATTATTTTCATTATGATTATCATTTTTATTAGTATTATCATAATTGTTATTGTCAATATTATATTTGTCGTATTCATTGTTATCATCATTTTTCTTTTCATTGTTATAATCGTTATCATTATTATTATCATAATTACTATTATCGCTATTATTATCATAATTATTATTATCATTATTATCATAATTATTATTATCGTTATTATTATCTTTACCATTATTAATTCTATTTTCAATGTCATCATTATTATCATCATTATTGCTAAGGATATTGTTACAATAACTATTATTACCAACAATTATTATAATTGTTATTGGCATCTTTATTGTTTTTTTCTATGTTTTGTTATCTATGGTATTATTGTCACTGTTATCATTATTAACCATCGCCATTATCATTACTATTCTAATTATCCAAATAACAAAAATCATGATGACAATAACAGTGATAATATTGAGTGATAATCATAATAACCATGTCCTTCTTACAGAAAAAAAAAAAAACGATTTTGGGATTTGGCTTTGTAAAATATTGTGGGAAAAAGGATATATGTATATGTAAGTATGTATATTTTTTCTTTCTTTCTTTCTTTCTTTCTTCTTTCTTCTTTCTTTCTTTCTTTCTTTCTTTCTTTCTTTCTTTCTTTCCTTCCTTTCATTTCTTTAATTTCTCTCTTTCTTTCTTTTGAAATCTGGATATTTACTTTCTGTTTTGGTAGTACATAGAAAAGAAAAAGCGTCTTTACACTGTGTGGCAGTATTTATCAACTAGCATTACACTCATTGGCTCATGATCCCCATCCCGCTAGTTATAGTCGTTATTACTAGTATCATCACCATTATCATCATCACCATTGTCATCACCATTATTATTTTCATTATTACCATTGTTATTATCATTATTACAATTATTAACATTATAATTATCCTCATTATTGTTATTCTCGTTATTAATATCATTATTATCCTTATTATCATTAATAGTTATCGTAATCAATACCACTGTCATCATTATTGTTAATATTATTATAGCTGTCATTAGGTATATCGACAAGTATAATATATATATATATATATATATATATAATATATATATAATATATATATATATATATATATATATATAGAGAGAGAGAGAGAGAGAGAGAGAGAGAGAGAGAGAGAGAGAGAGAGAGAGAGAGAGAGAGGAGAGAAGAGAGAGAGAGAGAGAGAGAGAGAGAGAGAGAGAGAGAGAGAGAGAGAGAGAGAGAGAGAGAGAGAGAGAGAGAGAGAGAGAGAGAGAATTTCTCTATAATAGTTTAACAAAAAAAATATTAACCTGTATGTCCTCAGTCTTTTGCAATATATTGTAAGTCAATGCCAAATGTATGGATATTAGCTGGTCCATAATTAATTGTTAAATGTTATATGTAGCTATAATGATACTGTTTTTCGTAATGTTTTAGTGGACGATTAGCAATGTGTTTCTCGGCTCATTATCATTATCTTTATTGTTATGATTAGTGCTGTTTCTGTTACTGTTAGCTTTGCGAAAGTCAGCAATATGTACGTCTGCCTCTTGTTTTGCCAACCTTGTGCTTTCATGATTCTGAATGTCTATTTATATTGGCTGATTTTAGGCCTTTTGTCCAACTGTTAGAAAAAAAAATGGTGCGGGGGGAATAAAAGAAATATTAATTTCTGCAAGATCATTTATTTTTTATCTAAATGATTTGATTTGAAGGTGCATAGAAATTTAATCGTTTTTACATTGTGTGGGGCATATATCAATTAGATTTACATTTAGAGGCTAATAAGCATCAGTATTTAAAAGTTATCAAATGATTATAGGTTCATGAAACATAATGATTGACACGTAAACAAAGTTAAATAAGAATATAACTCATCTCATACATGTATACTTAAAAATGTTTCCCACTTGAACCTCTGAACAAGACTTCTAATATATGATTTCTTAAGTAACAAATAACAAATAATGTTTATTGTCAAAATACATTATTAATATCACTATCGTTTCTTTTGTCATTATTATCATCATTATTATTGCTGTTATTGTTTTGATTACAGAAGTCCTAGTTACTATTATTATTATTATTATTATTATTATTACCATACTGATTCTCATTATTATCAATATTATTATTATTATTATTATTATTATTATCATTATCATCATCATCATCAACATCGTTATTGATATTACTATTATCATTTTCATCATCATTATTATTTTTATCGTCATCATTGTTGTTGTTTTCTCTCCCATTATTATCATCATCATTATTATTGTTGTTATGTTCCTATTGTTACATTCCAATGTTATCAACATCATTATCATCATTACATCACCATTATTTTCATCTATATTCATATCATAATTATCATCACTATCACCACCATATTCAGTAGTATCAGCTTAAGCAGCTGTACCACCATATCATCATTAATAAAATTACCTTTATTACTGAAAATTAGTTGTGCTCCAATTTACTCATCACTATTATCTTTTTATGTAATCTCCATATCTTTGAAAAATGATAAATTGCTTGTTTTACAGAATCGCTAAAGGTATCATCAGCGAGAATCGATTTATCACTATTGATGGATAGATTAAAGTCTTGGTTTCTCGATCGTCTATTATATCGTGATTTAGGTTTGGGGGAGGGGGGGGGGAAGAAGGGAAGAGAGAGAGAGAGAGAGAGAGAGAGAGAGAGAAAGGGGGGAGGGAGGGAGAGACAGACAGACAGACAGACAGAGAGAGAGAGAAAGAGAAAGAAAGAAAGGGGGAGGGAGGGACAGAGAGAGAGAGAGAGAGATTGATGGAGATAGTGTGCTTGAGAGAGAGAGAGAAAGACAAACAGGTAGAGAGAGAGAGAAGACAACTAGAGAGAGAGGAGAGACAGAAAGAGAGAGAGAGAGAGAAAGACAGGTAGAGGAGAGAGAGAGAGAGAGAGAAAGACTGATGGAGATAGTGTGCGTGAGAGATAGAGAGAGGGAGAAAGGACAAACAGACAACAGAGAAAAGAGAGAGAGAGAGAAAGGTAGAGGAAAATAGAGAGAAACAAAGAGGGGGATGACAAAAAGAGAAAAAGACAGGCCGACAAAGAGGGGGAGAAAGAGAGATGAATTTATTTTGCATTAGTTTTCATTGGTTTCCATACGAGATAACGACAACGAAAATAACAAGTCTAAACGTCTTAATTTTGTATGTGAAAAATGCAGGCCTATCCATAAAATTATATAAATAAAACATATCCCTTTTTTATGATAAGATGCCGTATATACAGGCTAACTGTTGAAGAAAAGGCAAAGCAGATATGAATATATTTATAGATGATAAATAAACAAATTTATGGATAGATATATAGAATGGTTGATAAATAGATAGATAGAGATATAGGTAAACGGATAAATAGTTTGATGGATAGATAGATCGATATACAAAGAGAAGGAAGGGAAAGAGAAAAGAGAAATAGTAAGAGATGGATTTTGATGTGATCAGTTAAAAAGGTATTAATATTCATGTCTATCCGAGCATCATATATAAAGTTAGATATATCAAATACTATATCTGTCTTTCACATATTTTACAAATATTGTTTTCACAAACGCATACATTGATATATTCATATTTATCTACATTATTATACCGCTATTACTATCATTTATTACTATTATCATTATATCCATTTGCGTTATTATTTTCATCTCCATTATCA